GGAGTAAAACCATCAGACACATGTTCACAATCACAAATCAGCCAAAACCCCCACTTCCTTTGGATCACTCAACACGAATACTATAATTTCAAATAACACTCAAGGTCCCACAAATAAATCAGTGTGATTTATTCCACTCATCCCTCTGTATAAAGTGATTATCCTGTTGATAACTACAAATCCAATACTATGACAGTTACTCACCCCTCTGAGTGAAGAGACTGTGTGTGTTAGTGGGTCTGTGCTGAATCTCCTCATAAACGGCCTCAGTCGTTGTCCTGTGTCTCCTCTTAGAGAGAGCTGTGAGTGTAGACAGACAAACCTGCTGTCAGTTCACAACACATGACTGATCACACACTGAATAAGACACAATATGACAGTCTCTGGATCTCTCCTACCTCTCCTCATCACTCTGTTCTGCTGAATCAGTATAAGCAGTGGCACTAAGAGCAGTAAGAGCACAACTCCCAGTACAATCACAAGCACTGGGGGGACGGAGAAAGACGCTGCTAGAGGAGTTTGTGGAGGAGAAACTGATGTTGAGCGCACTGGAGGAGAAGCTGATGTTGTTGTGGCAGGAGTAGTGGACACTGACAAATCTGGAAAATCTGTCAAAGACACAAGCACGTTCAAAGCTATGAATGTTCTGAATATACCAATATTACACACTTTAAAATGGTCTAAAAATAAATATTGTTCCTCAGTATTTTGCTGTGACCTGCACAGGTGAGTCGAGCGTGCTCTTTGTGGGAGCAGTCAGTGTGGTTTTTCAGGGAGAGAGGACAGTCCCACAGGTGAATCTCATTCCCTCTGCACTCGACTCTGTTCAGCCACACAACACCTTCACCAGCACCAGCACCAAAGACTGAATTCCCATCAGCCCTCAGTGCTGCTCCACAACCTAGCTGCCTGCAGACCACCTGAGCATCGCTGATGTCCCACTGATCATCACAGACTGAGCCCCACACAGCGTTATGATACACCTCCAGCCTCCCAGAGCACCGGCCATCCCCTCCACTCAGTCTGAGAGGAAGATGCTCTAAAACACACACATCACAAAAAAGTAGATACATTAATTACCAGCAGAGTACTGTCAGAACAGCAGCGTCTGCACAGGAGTATGTGTGTAATCATTTGTATATTCCAAGATGAAATCCTGCTGGTTTCTCATATTAGAACACCATTATCTTACGTCCCTGTCGAAAAAACCAGCATATGCGGGTTAGATATGTTTTGAAGCATGGCAGCTGGTTTGAGTTGGTTTAAGCTGGTCCAGCTCATAACCAGCTTTTAACGAGCTCATGACAAACTAAGGACCAGCTTAAAGGGTTAGTTCACCCCAAAATTTTAATTAGCCCATAAATTACTCACCCTCAAGGCATCCTAGGTGTATATGACTTTCTTCTTTCAGACGAATCCAGTC